TGTTTGGAGCAAACAGATGTTACAGCTACACAATGATTCCAAAGTTATCCTTTTGGCAACTTTGAAAGACACCTACTGAACCGGGCCCGTTTTGTGGTCCGTTGGGGACCGAGGACTTGTTCCAAGGAAGGTTCACGGCAAGCAGTTGCAATATCAGGGTTCAACTCACCCTAAATTCAAATGCCATTTCCCTCTTCCATGGGAGGCAAAAACCTTCTAATGAAATCTAGTGGGGAAAAAAAAAACACTAATGAAATTCAACTGTCTGGGGAGGTGCTTAAGCAGGAGAAACTCTTATGATCCCAGAACTTTCTTCCTGGCTGCAGATTCTCCCACCGTCTCCACCCCGCCATCAAGCTGATTCTAATAAAAGGTATATCACCGATGAAGCTTCAAGTGCAACATGGAAACGGGGACGCTGGATAGTTCATTTTTCTTTTGGCAAATGACTCCCCCCCCCAATACAGTTTTTTAAGGCCTCAATCTTTCCTTGCAGAAATCACTGCAAATTTCAGAATCCACATCTAGGCGACAGCGAAAACAATTTTGGTTTTTATTTGTTCTTTCTTTTTCTCCGTTTCTCTCTCTCTCTCTCTTCCTTTCCACACCACAGTCGCCAATTTCCATTCTTGCGCAACTTTAGATGTTTCCTAACTTTTATTTGGCCTAGGAACAAAACCCAGGCCGTTCTGCAAATGAATTAAAAACAAAAAAACTATAACACGCGTCAAGATCTTCCCCCGGGGTCCTCTGTACAGCTGGCAGGACTTTGCGCCAGAGCGCTGAGGAAGAAGCTGTACACTAATCAATCGTGGTCTGATCGAGGCATGGAAATACACTTTGGCAGACACAGGATAACAAAAGGAGCGCGGGTTCAAGAGAGGGAAAGGAATCAAAGAGGGATCGAAGGTGAATTTGACCCCAAAGCGAAAGAAAGCTAGATGAACTTTCAAACGGGAACATCTGCCGGGTCTGGTTTTCTTAAACTGTGCGGTGACAGAACGCCTCCCTTCTCTTCTTCCTCCTCATGCTGTGTTATGTGCCTGAAAAGTCTCCTTGAAAGCCCAGCCTGGGTTCTCATTTGCTACCAAGAGTTGAAGGCCCTGGTTCTGTTCCACCGAAATCAGATTAGTGAACCAAGATACAGTTCAGCTCTAACCAGACTTGATTTTGCATCTCTGTCAAAGATCTTCCAAAGAGGTGAAAAATCAAAGGTTCTCTCTCCAAGAGTTTAGCATGGAGAAAGACCACTGTGATGGAGGACGGATCTTGTCCAGGGGTTCTCCACTGGCCATGAATAATCCAAATTAAAATGGCCCAGCGGAGGACCTGAAAAAGGATCCAATTCCTTCTCCAGGTGACCTGTTCACCCAGCCTCAACGGTCTTTTGGGTGGGAAGGTGCTGCCTTCACCGACAAAAGCCCAACAGGTCTGAATGAGGGAAAAGGTGCTTGAAACATTATAGAATATTTTAGCAGCTGGTTGGGTAAAACTCTTCATAAGCAAATAAGAGCCTATTTCCAAAAATTCATGAAAAAATGTTATTGCTTCCTCCCCCCACCTCCTAATTCATCCTAGAGGGTGAAAACTGTCACGCCTAAGAGAAAATAAATTTCTGTAAATCCCAAAATAAATCTGGTCAGGCACTCCATAAAGCCAGCTGAATTTTATAGACAGGATATATCTCATTCAAGGAAGAATGTGGTTCTTAATTGAACAAGCCGAAAGGATGAGTATTTTTCAATGTGTGCCATTGATGTTCCCTCCAAAAAACCATGGAAATAGAAGCATTTATTAGGATGCGGTGAATTTTGTTTACATCCCAAGGCCCAAACCAAAATATACAGCCAGGTCACTTTTCACTATTCTAAAAAAAACCTCTCAAATTATGCTTTACTTTAGTCCGACATTTGGAGACTTCTAGCGAAATGAGAAAGACGCAAATCATGTCCTGGGTTTTAATGACACGTGATTAAATCGCTTAAAAATGTGAGTCTCATCCTCTTCCAAATAGACAGATAGACCTACGAGTTCTAAAGTTCAGGTCTAAATTCCATTTAATTTCATATTAATTTAATGCTATCCTGCACGTCTCTCTTCAGACATCAACTTTTGAAAGCACTTCGATGTTCTTAAGATGAAGCTCCAGAGAAGCTCTAGAGATGAAGGGGATTTATTTTGTCAGGAACTCTAAACATGAGCAATGCTGAGAAGATTGGACTAAGAGGTCCTTCCTCACAAAACTAGATTGGGTTTGCTGTGTTGTTTACACAATGGATCAGGAGAAGGACCAAAACACAGGCCCACTTTTCTAGCCCGACATTTAAGAAAACTTTTGTTTTCTCATTCCAGAACCAAGAGGGAATGTCATCCAACGATGGTCGAGACCTTCTCAATAATCCAGGAAGGAACAATCATATCCCTAAAGAAGCGTTCTCCAATCTTGGCAACTTTAAAACTGGTGGGCTTCAACTCCCAGAATTCGCAGCCAGCATGTCCACAAGTCTTAAAGTGGCTGAGTTTGGAGACCTCTGCCCTAAAGGGAGTATCCTTGTGGGGGAAACCACAACATCATTGCTTGTTTGAGTCGCTGGCAGATGAAGGATAGGATGAAAAAAAAAAAAAAGTCAAGATGGCCGTTATGTGACCGAAGCCCCTCCCCTTTTAAGAGGCACAATGCATGGGTGGGGAAAAGGGGCGTGGCGTCCACCGTACAGTCACGGCCGCCATCTTGAGTGCTTTTTGAGTTTCTCTGCCAAGGTTTTTAGCGGGAGGTTCGTCTGTTCATTATGGATGGAACGGAATGAAAACTAGCTTTCCAGGAAGGAAAAATGAACAACTGAAAGAACTGCAAGCAAAAGTCCAGTGGAGAAAGGAGGAGAGGACTGGGGTTTCCTCCCCCCCTTTTTTTTTTAACTCTGAGAAGAGAAAATTAACATGGCAATTTCATTTCGCATGAATCATCAAGACCCATTCAGCAGGAGCCTTCTAAGAAGGCTTAAGCATCATAATTAAAATTACAGATTTAAAAGCAATTGCACTGAGGCGCCGTTCCTAAGGGGGCAAAAAAAAAACCCACCTACCCCTTTCTCATGGTAAATTAAACACTGCTGGGTGGTGGGAATAGTGGGGGGTGGGGGAAAGAGTGTGTTAGGTGTAGCAGTGTCCACGAGCGTGAAAGAAGTACAAGCTTAGCTAAACTCCGATATAATATCTGTTTCTCCATTTAGACTGCATTTAGGTTGCCCACTTACAAATAAATGTACAGGGAAATGCTCCAAATTACATTGGGTTTTTTTTTGGGGGGGGGGGGGGAGCGAAGAGAGATAAATGAAATATTCTTTCAGTCCTTTAAAAAACAGTTCTACGAAACTCCTGTAGGAATTGCGCTCCTTATGAAATTCTACAAAGAGGTAAAAGCCACGAAGAAAAGCCACTGAAAAGCCACAAAGACGGGACTGGCTGAAGACTGAAGGGGCTGTGAAACCAGGGCTGTGGTCAACCAAGTTGAGACGGGGGGGGGGACCGTTACGGTGGGATCCAAGACCCACCCACCTTGATTTGGTGGACCACGCTCTGCGGACTTTCCCCCTCCACCCCGCCAGCTCGCCCCCCCCCCCAAAAAGCCGGAGGACGAGTGCTACACTTCTGTAAAACTTGACGCCTCCTTTCGAAACGGATTGACAATTCAAGTAATGGGCTAATAAAACAACCGCTTTTCATTCCAAACTAGACATATAAAGAGAGTTGCTTCTGAACCGCTAGGCTTGCTGACATGCATTTGACAGAGATGCTACCGGAGGGAACAGCAGGTAAAAACCAAATAATAAAATCCCCAATTTGCAACGCTCCAGCGAGAAATCTGCCTCGGAGACCGTCCATGGGAGGAGACCTTTCCTAACGGGGTGAAATCCAAAAGGGTTACAAGGCCTCACCTCAACATGATAGGGAATCAGAGGCTGTCCTAGCAGGGAATTTGCCTTCTTTTGAAGAAGGGCTGGGCCTGCGGAATTTCTGGCCTCCTCCAGTTGCAGAATTTCGGGAGCACCTGTAGGACATCGTTGGAGAAGGTGGCCCTCGTGCATGGAAAGAGTGATCTTCTTTGCAAGAGTCGGTCAAATCAAAGGTCCGATCCAAGGAAGGGAGAGAGGCGGGGAAGAAACGTTGACGGGAAGAAACGAGGAAGAATTTCCTTAAGACTCCGGCGATATCCGCCGAAAGCCGAGGGGAAAAAAAAAAACTTGCAAAGTTTCGTCCTTTAAGGCCCAAAACTTTAGAAAGAAAACTAAAAAGCAAGCAAGGACAAAAAAACAACAACAACGACGATGAAGGCAGAAAAATTTTCGCTACTCTGCAGGTCTCAAGAAGTAGGCCTTTGGTTTCCGCGAGACCACCTGTTTCAAAAAACTCAGCGATCGCTAACCGTTTCCAGCCTGGAAGTTCAGAAAAAGTGCAACCAGCAAACCCTCCCTCCCTCTCCCCCCCTCCAAAAACCCCCTCACCCAAAAACATAACACAAGGGAACCCACACAATCCACTTGAAGAGACTGATGGTGGAGATTCCCCAAGCAGCGTTGTTGCAAAGGAGATGAATGGCTTTTAAACGCCACTAAGCCGAAGAAAGAAAAAAAAATATCAAAAATTCAAATTGACCCAGGTTGTCGGTTGCGATAGACACTGCCTTTGCCCCCCCCCACCCCCCTTGTTCTTTTTCTCACCATCCCATCTGGTAAAAATCTCTCTTTCCTTCCACCAAAATAGATCTATGGATCCAGATTACCTGGGGTCCAAACTGACAGTCAACCCATCGGCCTGAGGTTGGTTTGGTTTTTTTTAAATAAATAAACGAGCACGCACCCACTATAGCTCTGCTGTAATTTCACATACAACTGAGGTGTGTGTATATGGGGGGGGGGAAATAACAATGACTCCCCCCCCAAAAAATGAGTTCCAGGCCGAAGTTCAAGAGAGGAGAGGAGGGAAAAAAAAAAACCACCAAGGAAAGCTGTCAATTTTAATATTGCATCGATTCTACAAATGCGCAAATTTCAACCAAAGGCAATTTGATTCTCTGGAAGGAAAACGGCCTGGACAAAATAACAGAAAAAAAAAAAGCTTTTTTCTTTTTCCTGAAAAGATAAAGCGGAAGCGAGAACGGTTTAAGTTCCATAAGTTTTTCAATTGTTAAAAAGAGAGAGAGAGAGATAGAGAGAGAGAGATAGAGAGAGAGAGAGAAAGGGGGGGGGAGGCAGAACTTGTCCAAATGAATAATTTGAGAAAAAAAAAAGAGAGAGAGAAAAGAACGCCATGACTTTCAAAACCAAAAAACAAAACAAAACAACAAAAAAACAAACAGAAGGCTGCTTTCCTGCCTGTTGATAAAAACTGCCTTGGAAATCCTCCTCCCCCCCCCCCAAAAAAAAAGAAAAGAAAAAAAAAGAAGCATTTCTCTTTGTTAAAACTACCTGGGCGAAAGGAGATTTTTTTCCTGGATTGTAGAGAAAGCCGTCGCCTTGAAAATTCTCTGGGCTCCACAAATGCGTGAAATAAACCTTTTCTCTCTCCCCCCCCCCCGTTAAAATCCTCTGCTGCAAATTAAACCAGCAGGGCTTGTCTGCTAAAAATTTAAAATTCTGCTTTGAAGGATGTTCTGGCTTGGAATGTGCGTTGAGGGGCCGGGATAAACTTCAAACGGCCGATTCGCCTTCCACCTCTGGCACGGCGGTTCCCTTCCCGCGACCGAGCTTGATCACCATGGGCTTCTCCTCGTTCCCGCCGCTGCTTTCGGCCACGCTGGGTGGAGCCAACTCCTTCTGCTCTTCCTTCGAACTCTCCCCAACATCTGGGTAGATCACCAAGAAAGTGGCCGTCAAGAAGCCCAAGAAAGAGCCCACGGACGCCACCACTGGAATGACCCGGACGGAACCCACGGCATCCACCACTCCTCCCAGGGCGGAAGCAACCAGGATCTGGGAGATGTAGACCTGGCACGACAAGATGGCGCAGTCGATGCCAAAGCCTCGCTTGGAGTTGCCAGGGCTGTGATGGATGTACTGCGAGAAAGAGCAAACGAGAAACAGAGACCGAGGTAAAGGAGCTGGCACTGGTGCATCTGAGCATGTTTTCAGATCCCTTGAAGGAACCAACAAGGGGGGGGTCTCAGAAGGGAATCTTTGTGGCTCAGGGTTCAACTGTGGACTCCTCTGAGCTAGCGGACATTCCATGACCCAACTAGGTAACGTCATCAGTGCTAGAAGGGAGTGGGGCTTGCAGGGTGGGCTGTGGGGTCCTTGGTGCTCTCTGATCTAACTGGTGTCCTTCAACCCCTGGTGTTCTTCAACCAGTCCTAAGGCCACATACCTGCTTGATGTCGTGGTACTGTCCCAGAAGTGCATACGGGCAATAGGAGATACTCATGGAGACAATTCCCATGGTGCTGATCATGATCATGGCAACGTAGACGTTGGGAAATATGGCCATCACTGCGGTGCCGATGGAGAATCCGAGCGTGCCCAAGATGTAGATGATTCGTATGCTCAAGTCATAATTGTCCAAGTATTTCTGGAGTAAAGCTGGAAAAGGATTAGCACAAGTCACAGTTACACAACATCCTGAACATCGACACAGGCATACAACCTGAGCATGTGTCTGCTACTCTCCAAAAACAATCTTCTTTCCTGTCCTATAGTCAATCCACCCATTCAGCCTCTTCCACCATGCCTCCTGAGAAGACGGGATAGATGTGCATACATTCTCCAACCAACATTGGCTGGCTGGGAACTTTTGGGGAGTTGAAGCCCATACATCTTAAAAGTTGCTCAGATTGAGGAATGTTGGTTTAGAGAAGGGACGTCCCACCATGGCAACGTTAAGATCTGTTGACTTCAGCTCCTAAAAATTCCCCAGCCAGCCATTCAATTCTGGGAATTGAAGTCCACAAGTCTTAAAGGTTGTCAAGGAACACCCCTGGTTGACAGCAAGGAGAAATGATCCTTCCTGTGTTAACAGTTGTGTTAGCTTCAGAACTGTTGGAGGGACCACCTTCCCAAAAGCGTGAAATGCCACACCGAGTGGCAGGCAATAACCAAGTCAATTACCGTATATTCCGGCGTATAAGACGACTTTTGAGAGCGTTGAAACAGGCGCCGAACTCGGGGGTCGTCTTATACGCCGAGTCGTTTTATACGCCGGAAATAAGGTAGTTTCCGGCGTATAAGACGACTTTCTAAGCATGCGACTTGGCATCGATCGTCTTATACGCCAGAAATACCGGTAGTTTCCGGCGTATAAGACGACTTTCTAGGCATGCGACTCGGCGTCGATCGTCTTATACGCCGGAAATAATGTAGTTTCCAGCGTATAAGACGACTTTCTAAGCATGCGACTTGGCATCGATTGTCTTATACGCCAGAAATACCGGTAGTTTCCGGCGTATAAGACGACTTTCTAGGCATGCGACTCGGCGTCGATCGTCTTATACGCCGGAAATAATGTAGTTTCTGGCATATAAGACGACTTTCTAGGTATGCGACTTGGCGTCGATCGTCTTGCGACTTGGCGTTGAACTTGGGGGTCATCTTATACGCTGGGTTGCCCTACACGCCGGAATATACGGTAATCTCAAATCCTCTTAACTAACTTACAGTTACATGATGGGCTCAACTGTGTCTTTTACTTTTTTCTCCCCCATTCTATCACTTCACGTACCAAGGCTTATTATAGCAGGCGTCTCCAAACTTGGCAACTTTCAAGCTCATGGATCTTCACCTCTCAGAATTCCTGGATGGCTGAGAGGAACTCTGGGAGATGAAGTCCACAAGTCTTAAAGTTGCCAACTTTGGAGATCCCTGGCTTATAGGACCCACATGTGGTCTACGGGATACATCTTAGGTTGAGATCTTTCTCCACCCAAACTGACTTGAGGTCTTCTCCGGGAGATTCACTGTCTGTCCGATTCCAACGTGAAGATATTGTCCTTCAACGTGCTCTAGTTTGCCATCAAAGCTGACACTGGCCAGAGCGTAGAACAAAGAAGCAGCGCAGGATCGGAAGACGTGGAGAGACCTGGTCCACAGAATCACCATCATCATTCCTCCTCCTCCTCCTCCTCCTCCTCCTCCTCCTCCTCCTCCTCCTCCTCTTCCTCCAATTACCATTCTGCTTCCTCTTCTCAATTATGCTACCATTCCCCCAACTTTAAGCCAGGATGATAGCACAGAGCCTCTCACCTGAACAAACAGCAGCAGTAGCAGCATAGATGACCAACCCCCAGCAGCCCATCTGGACGCCAGCACTGTAGTCCTGCAGTTCGGTAGAATTAGAAGGGGCCTGTTGGGGAAACAAAGAGGCTTTGATCAAAGGCAGAAGGCTTGCAAGACATGGTGGACCATCGTCCCCGTCAACTTTCCAGCTCCACTTCTTTAAAAAAATTAAAGAAGAGTATTCGCTGAACTGTGGGGTCCTGGGTGCTCTCTGAGCTTGGTGGTTTTCTTGCAGATGTTTCCTGACCCAACTAGGTAACATCATCAGTGCTGGAAGCAAGTGGGGTCTGCAAAGAGAGGAGGAGGAGACGACGACTATGGGGTCCTTGATCTTCTCTGAGCTTGGTTGTTTTCTTGCAGATGTTTCATTATCCAACTAGATAACATCATCAGTGATAGAAGGGAGTGAGTTTGCAGAGAGGAGGAAGAGACGGAGGAGGAGAAGGAGGTCTATGGAGTCCTTGGTGCTCTCTGTGTTTGGTGGTTTTCTTCTGGACATTTTATTACCTAACTAGGTAACATCATCAGTAATGATCAGCCCTGGTGATGTTAATTAGTTTGGTAATGAAACCTCTGCAAGAAAGCCACCAAGCTCAGAGAGCAACGAAGACCTCATGCATCTGTACGTCTTCCTTCCGCTCTTGAAGGCTATTCATAGTCTGCTCTGAATATAAAGGTTCTCAAACTAACTTACAGGTACCAAAAGGTAAACATGGTCTATCAGGTCCACTTTACGGTACATCCCAAACATTAAAAAAAATAATTACATTTTGTAATGCTTTCTCCCTGGTTGCCTAGAAGTTACTCTCCACTCATCACAGACAACTAAGCACAGGATGTTACACAAGACTGAATAACCTACGTGCAATGTCGTGTTCTCTTTACAAATTTCTACTGGGACTGAATCTGTTTGCAAGGAGGTACCCAATGTGAATGAGAGCAGAGAAGACTTCATTAATGGGACCTCTGCCTGTGTGTGTGTGTGTGTGTGTGTGAGAGAGAGAGAGAGAGAGAGAGAGAGAGACAGAGACAGAGACACAGAGAGATACAGAGATACCAAAACAGAGAGAGAGACACAGAGAAACAGAGAGAGAGAGAGGGAGAGAGACAGACACACACACAGAGAGACAGAGAGAGACTGACACAGAGACACACACACAGAGAGAGAGAGAAGGAGAGAGAGAGAGACAGAAGGAGGCAGGGAGAGAGAGGGAGAGAGAGACATATAGAGAGAGACAGACACAGAAGGAGAGAAGGAGAGAGAGGGAGAGACACATATACACACAGACTGACATAGAGACACAGAGAGAGAGGGAGAAAGAGAGAGGGAGAGAAAGAGAGAGAGGAGAAAGGGGGGGAGAGAGACAGACACACACACACAGAGAGACTGACATAGAGAGACACAGAGAGAGAGAGAGAGAGAGAGGGAGGGAGGGAGAGGTTGTGCAAACATTCCTCTTCTGATCAACAGCCCCTGGCGACACTAGTGCTTTGCTCACCTTGGGATCGCCGTGGAAGATGACCTGCCCCATGAAGTCGGTGTAGAACACAGCTTCAGCAATGATGGAAAACCAGGTCAAGAGGTGACAGACACAAAGCCGCAGCAACTCTTTGGGCATCTTCAGCATGGACAACCACAAGAGTCTCACGGTGGTTTCCGTTTCGCCTTCCTCGCTCTCCGTGTCTCCGCTGGAGTTGGTGGCGCCGCTCGGATTCCGGTGCCGGCATCTCTGCCGCTGCCTCTTCTGGATGTCGTAGATGTCGTTCATGCTCCGAGAGGACTTGATCAAGACCACGGCGTTGGCCCGCCGGAACCGGTAATGGTGGGACCCGATCTTCCCGTAGTAGGAGAAGGTGTTAGAAGGCTGGCGGTAGAACATGTGCCGTCGCCGGCGCATGGAGTTTGAGGTGCACGACGGCTTCATGCCCACCCGGACATGTCCGTTCAAGAGATCTTTTGGTAGGGAGCCGTTCCCGTTGGGGACTTTGGCCTCGGTCAAGGGGTTCTCAAGTAACATCTCCTCCTCCTTCTCGTTCTCCCTGAGGAAAGCGGACAAGCGGTTGAATTTGGACTTCATGAGCTCTTGGCTGGTGCTGTGCGGGGTCGCCGGGTAGGACGAATCCTGAAAAATGGAAGGTTCAATTTCGTGAAGGAAGAGGAGCTCCGATTCCATGTCAAGGGTGGCGTCCGGCATGTGCAGGACCGAATCGCTCTTACTCCGGACAATGTCCACCTCGAGGAACTCCATGTTGAGGTCTTGTTCGGACTGGACCTCGTCGGGGAAGAGGGAGTTCCCGTAAGGGTCCTCCTCGTTGATGACGTTGAGACGATTGAAGGGAGGGAGGCTGCCGCTCAGCTTGACACTTGACAGGGTCTCTGCCTCGTCATCCATCCGGTCCTGCTGAGGATTGTATTGCTCTTCTTCGATGCTGCACAGGTGGAGGACAACGGAAACGGAGAAGATAATGGCGGCAAAGAAGAAGAGGACCTGCTCTTGGGATTTGAAGACGCTGCCTAAGACGGTGTGCATCCAGTTGAGGCCGCCCAGCATGTAGCCAATGGCTCCTCCTAGGCCTACGGATGAAGATGAGAAGGACAAAGGTACAAAATGGCTGCACTGTGAAGGAGGGGAAGAACCCAGTGGTGGGATTCAGCCGGTCTGCACCATTTCGGAGGAATCGGTAGCTAATTTTTTGTTGCCCAGGCCCAGAATGGACTTCCGGAAGTGACATCCATGCAGAGAGCCAGTTGTTTACATATTTGAATCCCACTACTGAATCAATCATCTAGGTCTGATTGTCTATCTGTCATCTAGGTCTATCTATCTATCTATCTATCTATCTATCTATCTATCTATCTATCTATCTATCTATCTATCTATCTATCTATCTATCTATCTATCTATCTATCCATCCATCCAGTGGTGGGATTCAGCCAGTTCGCACCAATTTGGCAGAACCAATAGCTAATTTTTTGTTGAATCAATCATCTAGGTCTGATTGTCTATCTGTCATCTAGGTCTGTCTGTCTGTCTGTCTGTCTGTCTGTCTGTCTATCTATCTATCTATCTATCTATCTATCTATCTATCCATCCATCCATCCATCCAGTGGTGGGATTCAGCCAGTTCGCACCACTTTGGCAGAACCAGTAGCTAATTTTTTGTTGCCCAAGCCTAGAATGGACTTCCGGAAGTGGCATCCACACAGAGAACCGGTTTTTCACATATTTGAATCCCACCATTGAATCAATCATCTAGGTCGGTCTGTCTGTCTGTCTGTCTGTCTGTCTGTCTGTCTGTCTGTCTGTCTGTCTGTCTGTCTATCTATCTATCTATCTATCTATCTATCTATCTATCTATCTATCTATATCTATCAATCCAGTAGTGGGATTCAGCTGGTTCGCACCACTTCGGCAGAACCGGTAGCTAATTTTTTGTTGCCCAGGCCCAGAATGGACTTCCGGAAGTAGCATCCACACACAGAGAACTGGTTGTTCACATATTTGAATCCCACCACTGGAAGAACTGCACAGGTGGGAACAAGCTCCTCCCCTCCAAAGAGTGGTGGATTGTGGGGGAAAAAGAAGAAAAAAGTTCCCTGAGGAACGTCAAAGGATTTTCACCTGGACTTTTCTTGTGTCCAGTGTGGTGGATCTGAACATTGTAAGCATTCATAAAGGAGAACATTTATAGCTCGGGGTGGAAATGAGAGGTCCTTGGTGTTCGCTGAGCTTGGTTGTTTTCTTGCAGACCAGGGGGTCTTCAAACTTGGCCCTTTTATGACTTGTGGACTTCCAGAATTCCTCAGCCAGCCTCCATTTTGTTTGTTAGATTTAAGACAGAGGTCTTCAAACTTGGCCCTTTTATGACTTGTGGACTTCAACTCCCAGAATTCCTCAGCCAGCCTCCATTTTGTTTGTTAGATTTAAGACAGAGGTCTTCAAACTTGGCCCTTTTATGACTTGTGGACTTCAACTCTCAGAATTCCTCAGCCAGGCATGCGTGCCTGGCTGAGGAATTCTGAAAGTTGAAGTCCACAAGTCATATAAGGGCCAAGCTTGAAGACCCCTGTTGCAGATGTTTCATTACCAAGCTAGATAACATCATCAGTGCTAGTACTCAGAGAAAAACAAGGACTCCTTATTGTAAGCACAACCAGGTGAACACCACCCTTCTCCCAATCTGATGATGCCCAGATGAGATATAGCTACTACCTCCAGGAGGCCCAACCAGCATACACTTTGTAGTTCCCATACTTGAGAAAAGCTGCAATGGGTTATTCATGCTATGTTCAATGGTTTAGTCCAGGGGTCTCCAAACGTGGCCATTTTAAAACCTGTGGATTTCAACTCCCAGAATTCCCCAGCCAGCGATACTGTATTCCAAGTGTGGCCTTACCAAGGCATTGTAAAGTGGTATTAATACTTCATGTGATCTTGATTCTGTCCCTCTGTTAATGCAGACTTGCACTGTGTTGGCCTTTTTGGCAGCTGAAGCACACGGCTGGCTCCTATTTAAGTGATTGTCCACTAGGACTCTGAGGTCCCTCTCACAGTTACTACTATTAAGCAAGGTACCCCCTATAGTATACCTATACATTTGGTTTTTCTTGCCTAAATGTAGAACCTTACTTTTTTCACCCTTGAATTTCATTTTTTTAGATAGTGCCCAGTGTTCAAGTCTGTCCAGATCCTTCTGTATCCTAAGCCTGTCTTCTTTTAAAGCTTTGAAAAGAGAATGCAACTGAGGGACACATTTGTATGTGTATGTGCATTTGTAAAGTATTAGGAACTAACCTCCCTCTTGCTAATAAGATTGCTCTTCCAAGCATCCCAAGCATGGAGATGGTTATTATTATTATGATTGTGGCTGTTCTTATTGTATGGCTTTGTTACATTAACCCAGCGGTTCTCAACCTGTGGGTCGCGACCCCATTTGGGGTCAAACGACCATTTCATGGGGGTCGCCAAACAACACAGTCCACCATTTTCCCCCCTTTTCCTTAGCTGTGCTACTCCCTTTTATTCTATTGGCTTTTGAAAGCCAATAGACTCTCTTGAATAGAGTCTACTTCTATTGGCTTTCAAAAGCCAATAGGAATTGTCCAGGCTGTCTCTGTTCTCAACCTGTGGGTCAGGACCCCATTTGGGGTCGAACGACCATTTCCCGGGGGTCGCCAAACAACACAGTCCGCCATTTCCCCCCCTTTTCCTTAGTTGTGCTACTCCCTTTTATTCGATTGGCTTTTGAAAGCCAATAGAATAGACTCTCTTGAATAGAATTCCTGAGCCAGCATGGGGACTATGGTCCCTTTATGACTGGTGGACTTCCAGAATTCCTAAGCCAGGTTGGAAACCTCTCCCTTTCCCCTCAGCATGACTGGCTCAGGAATTCTGGAAGTTGAAGTCCACGAGTCATAAAAGAGCCAAGGTTGCCTACCCCTGGGTTAGGTGGACAAAAGCTGAAAGGAGCAACGGGAACTCATCCTGCCCCGCAGTGCTAGGACTCAAACATTCTCCAGCATCATTAAACCTCCTGGAGGAGGTGGTCAAAAAATGTCAAGAGGGTAACCACTAGAATAGAGCTGGAAGGGACCCTGGAGGTCTTCTAGTCCAGCCCCCTGCTCAAGCAGGAGAACCTATACCATCTCAGACAAGTGACTGTCTAGCCTCTTCTTAAAAACCTCCAGTGATAGAGCCCCCACAATTTCTGGAGGCCAGCTGTTCCATTGGTTGATTGTCCTCACTGTTAAGAAGTTTCTCCTTAATTCCAGGTTGCTTCTCTCTTTGGTCAGTTTCCAACCATTGTTTCTCGTCCTTTCCTCTGGTGCTCTGGTGAACACTCTGACTCCCTCTGCCGTGTGGCAGCCCCCCAGATACTGGAACACTATTTTATAAAAAGTTGGAAGATTCATTCAACTACAAGATAGAATTGCACTGCTAGGCTGCATTTGAATAAATCCAAACAACTGTCTACAAAAACGGATGAACATCCAGAGGCTGGCTTTATGAGAGGGATAAAACAACAATCTTCAGTCTGGAAAGCTGGCTACAAAATAGCAGCTTGTTCTTTGCATCCTCTTTTAAAAAAAAGAAAAAAAAAGAAACCAGAATAGTATCATTAAAATCTTAAAAATACCTAGGGGGCTTGATAGATCTGTTTTATGGAAGCCTTCAAACTGACTAACAGCCAGAGAACAGAAGGGACTGATCCGTCCCAGTGATATTATGACAGATGTCTTTAAAAAGTTTAAATAAACATGTGGTTTCAAAAAAAGAAAAAAAAATGCCCAAATTCAGTTATGCTTCCCATCTTTGGCTTGGAACGAATATCAGAGGGACTCGTGTTTCCCCCCCCAAGCTTTCACAACGAGGATGTGAGCAACGTTATTCGGAGCGTATAGAACCGCAGCGTTTAAAAAAGGAGGAATAACGGAAACATCGTACCGGCTGAAAAAGCATGGATGTTGAGGGCCATATCCTGCTCTTCGCTGTCCACCACGTCCAGCAAATAGGCGCGGATGGGCCCCTCGGTGGCGTCAGCGCAGAAATCCAGCACCACCACGCCGAGCACAGTGAGGACGATGCCGATGGGCTGTTTGTCCGGGACATCTCCGATAGCAAGACCTGCAACACAAGAAGGACCGTGAGCGGGTTTTTGTGAGACAGATTCCAGGAGGAGACAAGGTTTTTTGGGGGGGGGGGAAAGCAGAAGGAAGGAAGGAAGGAAGGAGAAAAAGGGAGGGAGGGAGAGAGGGAGGGAGAAACAAAGGGAAGGAGGGAGGGAGGAAATAAATTGGTGGATGGGTGGACTGGTGAATGGAATGATGGATGGATGATAGAGAGGAAGGAAGAATGGGGTGAATGGAAAAGACGGAGGAAGCGAGGGAGGCAGGGAGGGAGGGAGGAAGGGAGAGAGGGAGAGAGAAACAAAGGGAAGGAGGGAGGAAATAAATTGGTGGATGGGTGGATTGGTGAATAGAACGATGGATGTATATAAGGAGGAAGGAAGAAAGGGGTGAATGGATAAGAGGGAGGGAAGGAGGAAAGAAATTGGTGGATGGGTGGACTGGTGAATGGAATGATGGATGGATGATAGAGAGGAAGGAAGAACAGGGTGAATGGAAAAGACGGAAGAAGGGAGGGAGGGAGGGAGGGAAGAAGGAAGGAAAGAAAGAAAGAAAGAAAGAAAGAAAGAAAGAAAGAAAGAAAGAAAGAAAGAAAGAAAGAAAGAAAGACACCCAGATTAAGAGTTGAAAAACCTGTGTGACTTGAGTCTGGTAGTGTCAAAAACTGGGAGATGCTACAGAACGGATCAGCCCTGGAACTGTTTTCAAAGAAGGAAGACTTTGTTTTGAATTCCATCAAAAGGAGTTAAAAATTCAAGCTCGTCACAGGAACCTTTGCTGGTTAATCTGTATTAGTCTAACACAGTATTTCCCAAATTTGACCATTTTAAGGCATGTGGACTTCAACTCCCAGAATTCCACAGCCAGCAATGCTGGCTGTGGAATTCTGGGAGTTGAAGTCCACATGCCTTAAAATGGTCAAGTTTGGGAAACACTGGTCTAACACGCGGCTCTCCAAACGTGGCAACTCTTTAAGACTTGTGGACTTCAACTCCCAGAATTCCATAGCCGGCCATGCCCAGCTAGGGAATTTGGGGGGGTTGAAGCCCACCGGTCTTCTGGTTGACACATTTAGCGACCTCTGGCCTAATAGGACAGCTGGGTCTTCCAGATATTTTGACCTTCTTCTGAAATAACATCTGGCCAGAACGATCATCATCGGTCAGGGATTGTGGGAGATGGAGCAGAAACACTGGGGACACCAGATGAAGTCGCACAGGTCGTCCTTGACCTACAACAACCCACTTAGTGACCGTTCGAAGTGACAACTGAAAAAAAAAAGCACACATAGGATCGTTTTTCACCCTTACGACCGCTGCAGCCTCCACAGGTGATCAAAATTCCGACGCTCGGCAACTGGTTCAAATTTATGATGATTGAAGGGTGTCCCCGGGGGGGGGAGAGGAACCACGTGGGATCCCCTTTTGCGACCTTCTGGCGAGCAAAGTCCACAGGGGAAGCCGGATTCACTTCACAACCGGCGTTACTGACTTCACAACTGGGATGATGCGCTTAACTGTGGAAAGGGAGGTGGTGAAATGGGTCGAGACTCCCTTAGCAAGTGTCTTGCTTAGCAACGGAAAGTTTGGAGCTCAGTTGTGGCTGCAGGTCGAGGACTACCTGTAGTTAGCCTGGGGATACAACCGCTGCGTGCATCGCAGGTGTTTCCCTTTTAACTGCTCTTAGGAAATGGCGAAATTAGGAGCTACAACATAACGCACGTCGAGGGAGGGAGATTCTTTGTCGTCCAGGTCACGGCTGTCCCAAAGGCGCTTTTTCAGGACTGTCTTGGTTTTTCCTGGAAGACCTTTCGCTTCTCATCCAAGAAGGTGAGAAAAACAAACAAACAAGGAAGTTTCCCCCTAAAGTATCGTAAATGCCGGCGTATAAGACGACTTCCGCGAGCGCTGAAATCGGTGCCAAAGACGGGGGTCGTCTTATACACGGAGTCGTCTTATACGCCGGAAATACTGGTAGTTTCCGGCATATAAGACGACGTTCTAGGAATGCGGTCCGGCTATAAAGACGGGGGTCGTCTTATACGCCGGGTCGCCTAATACGCCGGCATATACGGTAATAATAATAATAATAATAATAATCAAACATCCACATCTGCCTATCCCAGGTCCTGGGTAAGGACTCGATAGGTAGACAAAATGCCAAATCCAGTCTGAACATCTGGCTGACTGTGCGATGATCCATAATAATAATAATAATAATAATAATAATAATAATAATAATAATAATAAATAATAATAATAATAATAATGTTGGAAGGGACCTTGGAGGTCATCTAGTCCAGCCCCCTGCTCAGGCAGGAAACCCTACACCATTTCGGACAAATGGCTGTCCAGTCTCTTCTTAAAAACTTCCAGTGTTGGAGCATTCACCGCTTCTGGTGGCAGGTTGTTCCACTGGTTCATTGTTCTAACTGTCAGGAAGTTTCTCCTTAGTTCTAGGTTGCTTCTCTCCTTGGCTAGTTTCCATCCGTTGCTTCTTGTCCTGCCTTCAGGTGCTTTGAGGAAGAGCTTGACTCCCTCTTCTTTGGGGCAGTCCCTGAGATACTGAAAGACTGCTATCCTGTCCCTCCTTAGTCCTTCTCTTCATTAAACTAGAACAGCCCTCTCTCAACAGAGGGGGAGGGATACAACATCGTCCATCTCTAGTCTACAACACGGTCTTTTCAGCAGTCCCAAGAAAGCTCCACACCCATTTGCACCACTCAGGTGACCCTGAGGGCACAGATAAAGCCTCCAAGTGGCCTCAAGGACTCTCTAAAAGGAGGCAAATGATCAGCAGTCTTTGCCCAAAATGGTATAGGGTTTCCTGCCTGAGCAGGGGGTTGGACTAGCTGACCTCCAAGGTCCCTTCCAACTTTATCATTATCATTATCATTATTATTATTATTATTATTATTATTATTATTATTATTATGGATCATCGCACAGTCAGCCAGATGTTCAGACTGGATTTGGCATTTTGTCTACCTATCGAGTCCTTACCCAGGACCTGGGATAGGCAGATGTGGATGTTTGATGGTATTACAGATATCGTCGCAGGATGGAAGCAGTTCCTAGTAAGGCCGCCTTTTGCAATTGACTAATAGCGAATTTGTCAATGCCAATGGTGTTCAAGTGGTGCTCCAGTTGTTTTGGGATTGCACCCAAGGAGCCTATTACTATTGGTACTACCCTTGCTTGCTTTTGCCACAGTCTTTCTATTTCTATTTGTAGGTCTTTGTATTTTGTTATCTTCTCCAGTTCTTTCTCTTCTATTCTGCTATCTCCAGGCACTGCCACGTCCACTATCCAGACTTTTTTGTCTTTCTTATCGACAATTGTTAAGTCTGGGGTGTTATGTTGCAGGTGCTTGTCTGTTTGAATTCTGAAGTCCCAGAGCAGTTTAATTTTATCATTCTCTATGACTTTCTCTATTTTATGTATTTTATGATCCAACCAGTATTATTATTATTATTATTATTATTATTATTATTATTATTATTATTATTAACATCAAGAAGGGGTGGCAAGTCAGCTTGCTCCGAATGAAATACTGCCGTGGCACCAATTCTCAGGCTCAGTTCCTAAAGATAGTAAATTCCCAGCTTCAATTGTTTCCTCACAATATTGTTTTATTTTATTATTATTTTTTTGTCGAGAGGGATAAGGGAAAATATATATATATATATTCTTCTCCATTTAGACATTCAATAAACAACTTTCAGATCGCCTTACGATCTTTTTTGTCCTTCCACGCTCGGAGAACAGAGAAGGGAAAAAAAAAATCTGGATTTTGTTTTTTTTTATTGTTGTCGTCGTCTCTCTCTCTCTCTCTCTCTCTCCTTTCAAATAACGCTGGAAACAGGATGTCTTTGCCAGATATGCATTAAAGGGAAATCAGAAAACAACAGGAACCGTTTCCCTGTGAAAAAGTTCCTAGTGGATTCCCATGCCAAGGGCTGCCTCATTCATCCCGGCTTCTGCTGATAATTGTGCTACAACACAATTGTATTGATGGGAAGGTGTACTTGTGAACACAATGCGCTGCCCTTGAGGTAAACGTGGCAGAAAGCAAGGCTGCCGGTAAGGACTCCATCATTGTGGTTCATTCATCACAGGCAGCTGAAGAGCGAGCTAGTTAGTTAGTTACTGGAAGGGGACCTTGGAGGTCTTCTAGTCCAGCCCCCTGCCTCAAGCAGGAGAACCTACACAGGCAGCCCTTGACCGTTCAAAGTTACAACAGCAGTGAAAGAAATGCCTTACGACCATTTCTCACACTTACAACCGTTGTAGCACCTCCCCATGGTCACCTGATTTACATTTGGACACTTGACAAGGGGTTCATACTTATCACGGTTGCGGTGTACCTGTGTGTGTGTGTGTGTGTGTGTGTGTGTGACGTGATCCCCTTTTGCAACCTTCTCACAAGCGAAGTCAGTGAGGAAAAACTGCAGTGTTTCACTTCGCCAAGCTGGCGAGGAAAGTCGTAAAATGGGGCCCAAACTCACTTAACAATGGTTCTCGCTTAGCAACCTAAATTTGGGGCGCAATTCTGTGATCGTTAAGTCGAGGACCACCTGTGAAGTAGATTCCAAATCCACACAGCACATCTGTAGATGTCCACTTCTGGGGGGCGGGGAGAGACTTAATTCCCTCCGTCCCTTTCCCTTCCAGCCATCTACTGCGTTTCCCCGAAAACGAGACCCGGGTTTATATTAATTTTTGCTCCATCAGGGTTTATTTTTCTGGTTAGGGCTTATATTCGGAGAAATACGGTACTAAATGAGACCGTTTGGCTGATGATCTTAACTGGGGCTTATTTTTGAGGTGAGGCTTATATTACGAGCGTCCTAGAAAAAAAAAATCACGCTAGGGTTTATCTTTCCGGTTGGTATAGGGTTTCCTGCCTAAGCAGAGGGTTGGATTAGATGACCTCCAAGATTCCTTCCAACATCATCGTTGTTGTTGTTGTTGTTGTTGTTGTTATTATTATTATTATTATTATTATTATTATATTGTTATTTTGTTGTTGTTGTTATTAATATTATGGATCATCGCACAGTCAGCCAGATGTTCAGACTGGATTTGGCATTTTGTCTACCTATTGAGTCCTTACCCAGGACCTGGGATAGGCAGATGTGGATGTTTGATGGTATGACAGGTATCGTCGCAGGATGGAAGCAGTTCCTAATAAGGCCGCCTTTTGCAATTGACTAATAGCGAATTTGTCAATGCCAATGGTGTTCAAGTGGTGCTCCAGTTGTTTTGGGATTGCACCCAAGGAGCCTATGACTATTGGTACTACCCTTGCTTGCTTTTGCCACAGTCTTTCTATTTCTATTTGTAGGTCTTTGTATTTTGTTATCTTCTCCAGTTCTTTCTCGTCTATTCTGCTGTCTCCAGGCCCTGCCACGTCCACTATCCAGACTTTTTTGTCTTTCTTATCAACAATTGTTAAGTCTGGGGTGTTATGTTGCAGGTGCTTGTCTGTTTGATTATTATTATTATTATTATTACTTTAGGGGGAAACATGGTAGGGTTAGGGTCCCACTGCCCCAAGAGACTTACTCCGAAGGCCGTAGGCATCACTTACCAATAACGGATCCGTTTAAGAAAAGGGCAACGCCAATCAGGACCCCAATGCAAAGGGCGAGGATAAACGGTCGTCGTCGGCCCCAGCTGAGGGTGCAGCGGTCGCTGGCTGAACCAATTAAGGGGGTAAAGATCAGGCCCAGGATTGGACTAAGGAACCAGGTGAGGCTGTAGTACTGTTCAGGAAGACCTGAAAAGAGAAACCAGGAATGTGGGTTAATTCGCAGGAGGGAACCTAGGCTGTTTAATTGGAAAGTTAAGGAGCCTGGAGATCCGGAGCTGGGAATGCATTTGTGTTTGTGTTTGTGTTTGTGTGTGTGTGTGTGTATGTGTGTGTAGGCCATGAGGTAGGACACCAAACGCAACCTCCTGGCCAGCAAGCTCTGGCTGTATGCATTCCCCCCCCCCCGTGTGCTTTGGAGCCATGGGTGTGCAGTTTGCAGAACTCACAGCAGGGGGCAGCAAAACAGAGACAGACCTCAGTTAGCATTTGGAACGGAGGCCACCAGGAGATCCCTTAGTCTGAGAAAAAAATTGCTGGAAGAAGCTATGGCAAATCTCCTAACTATTGCCAAGAAAGCAGCATCGTTATACCCTCACAGTCATCAAGAACTCAACTCGTCTTTCTTCACAGGGCTTAATGGTGGCGTCTTCTAAAATTCCCTTCACAGGTCTCTGACTCGGGGTCCAACTATCATACTCTCGCTCTTTGGCACAGGGGAATTCTGGGAAATGGCACCCCAACACATCTGGGGCGGCAGCTGTGCTCTTCTGCTTGTTCTTCTGCCAATAAAACAAATGTTGCAAACTTTGTGAGCCCTTCCTTTCGGAGAAACTAAAACGCTAGGCCTCGCCCTCAAAAAAATCTTCCAATTTGCAAAGTATGCAGGGCAACAGGGTTTCCATTAAAGCTTTAACCTTTACAGGAAAACAGCAAAGAAAAACCAATTACGAAAACATCCACGTGTAGGAACTGCTATTTGCGGATTGCAAAGTTAACTCTTTTCTTTTTGAATGGCTGGAGAAAAAATAGGGACAACAAAAATATTTATTAATGAATTAGTTAGTTAATTATGTATGTATGCATGTATGTATGTATGTATGTATAATTTTAGACAGCAATGCCAACATTTAGCCAGTAGATGGTGCCAGCTGCAGAGGAACCATTCTAAAGCTTTTTCAAAGCCACAACACAACCAACAATAGACCACTGAAGTCAGGGGTCTTCAAACTTGGCCCTTTTATGATTTGTGGACTTCAATTCCCAGAATTCCTGAGCCCACAATTCTTGTTGTTGCTAAGCTTGGAATATCAGCTCGTACCCGCAGGGGGTGCGAGCACCCCTGGTTGGGAACCCCTGATCTAGTGTCTGTCTGTCTGTCTGTCTATCTACCAGTCTGTCTGTCTGACTACCTGCCCGTCTGCCCATCCATCCATCCATCCATCCATCCATCTGCCCATCCATCCATCCATCCATCCATCCATCCATCCGTCCATCCATCTGCCCATCCATCCATCCATCCATCCATCCATCCATCCATCCATCCATCCATCCATCCATCCATCCATCCATCCATCCATCCATCCATCCATCCATCCATCCATCCATCCATCCATCCATCTATCTATCTATCTATCTATCTATCTATCTATCTATCTATCTATCATATCTGGCAGGCTCCATTTCCCGAAGACCAAAACACCCCCGGGGTTTGCAGCCAACGGACTCTGGGATCTGATGAACTGGGTTTCCCAAAATCTGATCGTCATATTTCCACGGACAGATTTCTAGGCAGAAATGAACCCTTCAAAAGCCATCAGCCCAAGAGCGTTCTGCCTCTCCTCCTGGCCCCTAGAAGGCTCCTAATCTGACTCAGTAACATAAAGGGCAGCCTGATATAGTGAGGTAATGTGGTGCAGGTGGTCCTCAACGTACAGGCTAGTCATTTAGTGACCGGTCAAAGTTACAATGGCTATCGAAAAATGTGACTTAGGATCGTTTCCCAACACTTATGATGGCTGTAGTGTCCTCCTGGTCGCATGGTCAAAATCTGGCTGCCTCTATAATATACGCTGGCTCATATTTATGACGGTCATAGAGTCCGAGGATCACGCGATCGACTTTTGCGACCCGTTGACAAGCAAAGTCAACTGAACAGAGGCAGGGGTTCACTTAACAGCCATGGCAGGAAAGGTTGTAAAACGGGCCAAAACTCATTTCCTAAGCACAGTCTTGCTTAGCAACGGAAATTTTGGTTGCCAATTGTGGTCATTAAGCAGAGGACTGCCTGCATTTGAGAAAAACACCCACCCCAGTTTTGTGCATGAACAAATGAAGTGCCCCCATCTTTGAAATCCAAACATCAACACTGACTACCATCACTACTATTGCTGCAATATTTTATTTTAATTTTATTTAGCAAATGTATATGGTCACCCAATTCACTCACGGCATGGGTCTTCAAACTTGGCCCTTTTGTGACTTGTGGACTTCGACTCCCAGAATTCCTCAGCCAGCGTGCCTGGTTGGGGAATTCTGGGAGTTGAAGTCCACAAGCAGGGGTCTTCAAACTTGGCCCTTTTGTGACTTGTAGACTTCAACTCCTAGAATTCCTCAGCCCGTGTGCTGGCTGAGGAATTCTGGGAATTGAAGTCCACAAATCACAAAAGAGCCAAGTTTGAAGACCTCTGACTCACGGTGACTTCAAGCAGCTAACAGAAGTAAAACCCCAAATAAAAAAAACTAAAAAAAAAAAAACCCCAACTCCCTGACAATAAGAACAACAACAGGACTCTTGAGTCAAGGTGATATCCCTTTAAGCTTTAAAAGTTAAATATTGTTCTCGGTCAAATGCTACTGCCTTATCTGACACAGAAAATCTCACGGCGAGGGTCAAGTGATGCAAAATCAAAAGAATTCCAGACTAGGTTTAAAAGAACGGGGCTTCATACACCATTAGCTTGGAGGAGTGCGCTCAATCTGATCCGAGCTAGCCAAGCACAAAATTAAAACCCACTTGGAATGTTCTGTAGGTTGACAATGGGAATTTATATTGGCCTGGAGACCGAGAATGGTGATTGACAAAGCAACAGAAACCACACAAGCAGATCCAACATGGAGGCCCACCCTCCATTTATGAATTTAAAAACCTTGCTTGAGTTATGCTTTGCTTGCTCAAGAGGTATTTTTATACCATCGCAGAGGTTGATCTCCAGTGGGAAGATCTGCACCTTCTGTGGGTAACTCAAATACTCAGCAAAGCCTGGCCAAGTTCTACCACTGATGACCCAGGTTCTTGATCTCTCACTAGGCTTGCAATATTTTATTTTATTTTATTTTTACTTAGCAAATGTATATGGCCACCCAATTCACTCACAGTAGGGGTCTTCAAACTTGATCAAAAATGTGATCCCTGAGGCTTGCTCAACCTCTGGGCACAGACCAACAGTGACCGACCTTGTTATCGGAGAGTTAGCAAAAGGATCTTCAAGACTGGTTGAGTCCTTAGTTTGTTGTTGAGACGAGTCTGGGAGTGGCTTTAATGAAAAGAAGGACGAGGGGTGACATGATAGCAGTGTTCTAATATCTTAGGGGCTGCCACAAAGGAGAGTGGGTCAAGCTATTCTCCAAAGCGTCTGAAGGCAGGACAAGAAGCAAGAGATGGAAAACTCATCAAGGAGAGAAGCAACCTAAGAACTAAGGAGACATTTCCTGACAGTGAGGACAATTCATCAGTGGAACGGCCTTGCCACCAGGAGTTGTGCGTGCTCCATCACTGGAGATTTTAAAGAAGAGATTGGACAGTCATTTGTCTGAAACAGTATAGGATCTCTAGCTTGAGCAGGGGGTTGGACTAGAAGATCTCCAAGGAGCCTTCCAGCTCCATTCTCGTTGATTGATCAATTGATTGATTGCAATAGCGGCAAATATCTGTAGGATGAGGGTGAAGGTTCGTTCTCCGAGCTTGGGGGGATGGTTTCCAAACATGACTGATTGACCGATCTCTTCTTAAAAACTTCTGGAGGCAGGTTGTTCCACTGACAAATTGTTCTAACTGTCAGGAAATTTCTCCTTCATTTCAGGTTGCTTCTCTCCTTGATTAGTTTCCATCTGTTGCAGGGGGTGTGTGTTCAAACTTGGCCCTTTTATGACTTGTGGACTTCAACTCCCAGAATTCCTCAGCCAGCGTTCTGGGAATTGAAGTCCACAAGTCATGAAAGGGCCAAGTTTGAAGACCCCCTGTTCTATTGCTTCTTGTCCTGCCTTCAGGTGCTTTGCAGAATAGGCCGATGTTGATTTATTATCTGCCCAAGCAAGCCAGGGTGTCCTTTTCATCCTTCCACTTGACCTCTTTTGAGTTGTTGAGGTGCGGGTGCGTGAAGAGAAGAAGGAGCAGACCGAAGGACGTGCTGGAAAACAATCTGGGAAAAAAAGCAAACAAACAGCTCCTCAAACCGTTCTCGATAAGCCCAATCTGATTGTAATTTAAGGGGAAAACAACAACAACAAGGACAACAAAAGGCTGGTTTGGCAACAAAGCTTCGGGTCCCACACAAATCAAGAGAAAACAATTTCACTTCTTGCCAGCCTCTGATACACCAGCCGAACGGCACTTTCCCAGCCGGCTACAAACAAACAGGACATTATACAGTAAATAAGTTTTATTTGTTCTCTCCCCCCCCCCGCCCCCAGACGAAAAAAGAAAGAAAGATAACGAGGTTATCAACAATAGTGTGAGCCAAAGAGTTTGTGGTTCACAGGAAGCCTGACAGAACTCACTGGCTGGTCACACAGCCGACTCAGATATTGTGGTATTTTAGGAAAAGAAGGGGAGGTGTGTGAACTGCAGGCTGGCAGAACATCCATGCTCTCAAAAAGTCTGGCACAGGTAAGTCCTCGGCCTGTGGCCACAACTGAGCTCCACATTTCTAAGCAGGACAAGTTGTTAAGTGAGTCACACACGCTTGTTAAGAGAAGAGCAGAGAAGAGCAACAAAGATGATCAGGGGACTGGAGGCTAAAACATATGAGGAATGGCTGCTGGAATTGGGTATGTCTAGTTCAGGGGTAGGCAACCTTGGCTCTTTTATGACTCGTGGACTTCAACTCCCAGAATTCCTGAGCCAGCTGGCTCAGGAATTCTGGGAGTTGAAGTCCACGAGTCATAAAAGAGCCAAGGGTGCCTACCCC